AAAAGTTATTAAAGTTTTTAGTTTAAGGGTAGTTCACCCTAAATTTTAAAATTTTACTAAAAACATTGATAATTTTTCATAATTTTTTAGTTTCAGAGTTATTCAATCATTTTTAGAATTTTTATAAATAAAATAAAAAATAGGGGATGAAACTACCCTTAACATAAGTCAAAAAATTATTTAATATTCAATATATCTGTATACCAAAATTGATCAAAATTGGTTGAAAAACACATGAAATATAACACTTATAAGTTTTAATACCATATTTTTACCATAGCAACATTTTAATTCAAAGAAATAATAGAGAAATCTCATTTTATGGTGTTGGCTAACTTGCTTGCGTTTGACACTAGCGAACCTAGCGGGATAACCTTGCGTAATGATCATAGTACCATTTATCTGATCTTTTATATTGCCATCTAACTTAGTAGACTTGACACTTTGTAGCTCAATCCATTTGTTTGTTTCATTCTATTTCTATTTAGACTTAGCATTGATTATATATTTTAAGCATATATTATAAAACATTTTTCAATTAGTTAAAATAAATCAAAACAATCATATAAATCCACACTGAATTTTACTAACATTCTATTAGTTATTATTAATTATTCAATCACTTATTTTCATCAAAAGATCAACCAAACAAATTAGGCCATAGACTAATATTCCTTCAATAACATTATATTTACAACGCAATTTGTTTTTGTTGATTTTTACATTATCTTTAATCGTACAGAAATGTATAATATATGAAATAGCATTAATTTTTAACAAGCTTTTCATTGGTGATATTTATTTTCAATTTAATTCAATACTTATCTTTTTATCTTAAGATTATCATTTTGTTAACATTTTTATGATTTCACAATTGAAATATATAAAAAGATATTTTTGATAATTAAACCTTAAATAAACCTTTATAAACTTGTTTTTTTAATCAATTAAACTACACCATGATTTTTATGATATAAAAAACTTTAATAATTCTAATAAATTTCATGTTTTTTAATAGTTTATTTAATAATTAAACCTTTATAAACTCATTTTTAATCATTTATTAACGCGTCAATAAATGATTAAAAATGAGTTTATAAAGGTTTAATTATTAAATAAACTATTAAAAAATATGAAATTTATTAAAATTATTAAAGTTTTTTATATCATAAAAATCTTGAAGTAGATTAATTGATTAAAAAAAACAAGTTTGTAAAGGTTTATTTAAGGTTTATTTATCAAATAAATTATTAAATTTATGGAATTTATTAAATATTTGACGCGTCGCAAAAATTGCGACGCGTTAATAAATGATTAAAAATGAGTTTATAAAGGTTTAATTATTAAATAAACTATTAAAAAATATGAAATTTATTAAAATTATTAAAGTTTTTTATATCATAAAAATCTTGAAGTAGATTAATTGATTAAAAAAACAAGTTTGTAAAGGTTTATTTAAGGTTTAAATATCAAATAAATTATTAAATTTATGGAATTTATTATTTAAAATTCTTTTCGTATATTTCAATTATTAACTGTTTAAAATTTTTATAATTATTTTTGTAATAAATGGATCTACTAGAAGAGATTAATAATATTGGAGAATGTAAATTCAAAGAATATAAACCAATAAAAAGTTTAGAATTGAATACAAAATATAAAATAGAAAAATTTGAAAAAGTTAAAGATAAATATGGACCAACAGTTATTGTTGAATTAGAAAAATGTAAAGTTCATTTGCCTCATAGATTTATTAATATATTTGATGAAAAAACAATTAAAGAATTAAATAAAAAAGATTTAAACTTAATTATTACTGAAATTAAAACATTCAAAGATAAAGAAACTGTTTTAGTTAAATTTGTATAAAAACTACTCATTAAATTTTAAAATTTTACTTGTTTTTAAAAACATTTTGTTTTGTACTCAATTTTATGGAAAATATAGACATATTCATGAAAATTTCATCAAAATTATATACTTTTTCTAGAAAAATATGAAAATGTTAGAAATTGGCCTAAAAGAGGCAAAAATTTAACATATTAGTATTGAAAAACAACAAATTTCATTAAATTATTAAAGTCTTCCTTTTTTGGTCTAGGATTGGTACATTACTATCTACTTATATATATATATATATATATGTGTCCATCCGCACGATAACTTGAGTAATTTTTGTCCGATTTTGATAAAATTTGGTTTGAAGGTGTAAGGCGGGATAAACTTGAACGAGTTCGCGAACCAGCGAGATCGGGCTATGGAAACGGGGGTTTACGGGGGGTTTTATGGGGTAAAAATAGGTTTTTCCCATTTTTGACCCAAAAAACATAAATTTTTGCAAAATCTTTTCAAACCATTTTGTAGTGCTTAAAAAAACAAATAATTTAGTATATTGAAGTGTTGCTATGCGCCTAATGGTTACGGAGAAAATTCCAAAAAAATGTAAATTTTAAATTCCCATGTTATTCTTATGGAGAATAAGTAAACTGATGGAGTTTGCTTGTTTATGAACATACTTAGATCAAATTTGGAAAATGTTTTTATTTCTTACTAACTATTAACATTTTACAAAAAAAGCAGTTTTACCCTCCCTGATGCAGCAAACCTAAGTACCTGTTAAACTAATTTTATTTAAATAGGAAATAAATGTTAAATTTTTAAGTAGACATTTTAGTGTAAATCCAATCAGACATATGGAAATTCGCTTAGTCTGCAGGTTTGCTGCGGCGAGGGTATTATAAATTGGAGTTACTTTTGAGACCTTAAGTTTGTCAGGAAAATAGCCATTACGGAGACAACTATTAAATACAGTGGAGGGGTGTAGATATGTAGTGTATAATATTCTTGATTATGTAGTTTGAAAACCAAAAGTGATCCATAGATTTAATCATAGATTAAACATACTCCCTAAGGGAGTATGTTTAATCTATGATTTAATGTACAAATTATAATAATAATGTGTACATAATAATGTACACATCAAGCTACAAATTAACCTTTTGACAAAAACAATATTTTCTCAACATAACTTATTCACAGTGGGAGCAAAAAGAATTTTATCTGCATCATACCGGTACTTGCTAAAACTTGTACCGTACATAAATAATTATGAAGTAGAATTGATATAGCTTAACTGGGAAAATTTATTAATGGTATAATAATTTAAATAACTTATCAGACAGTAATGTCACATGTGTGCGTACCTAATTAACACCGTAATTAAATAATTTACTTCTTGATGGATAACAACAAACAAAAATTTACTTAACTTGAGTGTTGATGACGGGAATTCCCGCTATTGCTTTACATTGAAATAGATATAACTTTCATGTTTATGCATGTCGACCGCACTAATAATGTTAACAATAGTTAGGCCTTCTTCTCTTTTGGAAAAAAACCATGTGGTGTTTATTTGAAGTAAAAATTACAAACCATTTCAATTTCCTTGTAAGTTACTTAGTAATTTTCTAAAGCTGCTGAAACCTTTTAGTCTGTCTCTTGACCTGCAAAGGAAGCCAATTAGAGTTTGAGGAAATGCTTGAAATCTCTACTGAAATAGGTACTTTAAAACCTGGATGTGACTGAAAAACTACACTGGTGGCTGGCAGCATTTGAATCATGATGTATATATGACGTAGACCTGTTTTGGGGGCTGGACTTCCACCGGATAGTATTTCAGCAACCCATTAATTGCTGCGACAACGGTCTATAACGATCAATCCTCTATTTTTCTTTTTGCAGAACTTCTGAATATCTGTGTCACAGGTTTTTTAGTGTAGGCTATATCAAAACTTAAAATTAATACCCTCGCCGCAGCAAACCTGCAGACTAAGCGAATTTCCATATGTCTGATTGGATTTACACTAAAATGTCTACTTAAAAATTTAACATTTATTTCCTATTTAAATAAAATTAGTTTAACAGGTACTTAGGTTTGCTGCATCAGGGAGGGTAAAACTGCTTTTTTTGTAAAATGTTAATAGTTAGTAAGAAATAAAAACATTTTCCAAATTTGATCTAAGTATGTTCATAAACAAGCAAACTCCATCAGTTTACTTATTCTCCATAAGAATAACATGGGAATTTAAAATTTACATTTTTTTGGAATTTTCTCCGTAACCATTAGGCGCATAGTAACACTTCAATATACTAAATTATTTGTTTTTTTTAAGCACTACAAAATGGTTTGAAAAGATTTTGCAAAATTTTATGTTTTTTGGGTCAAAAATGGGAAAAACCTATTTTTACCCCATAAAACCCCCCGTAAACCCCCGTTTCCATAGCCCGATCACGCTCGTTCGCGAACTCGTTCAAGTTTATCCCGCCTTACACCTTCAAACCAAATTTTATCAAAATCGGACAAAAATTACTCAAGTTATCGTGCGGATGGACACATATATATATATATATATATATATATATATCTATATATAGATATATAAAAATTTGAACGGATGGTGTTTTTGGCCTCTGGGGACATCAAAATGAAAAAGTAAATCGGTCCCGGGCCTAGGTCTTACCATGAGACCTACGGTAATAGCTACTTCCCTATAGGGAAATTCGCTAAAATCAATTCAAATGTTGACAACGTTCTTTGAAATGTTAGGGTATTTGATAGATTTAAATATAATAATTAATTTTACGGTCAGGCCTAGGTTCTTTTATTTTTTTGAGTTTTCTGATTTTGCTTTATTAACATCAGATTCTGTGTTTTTATCAAGACATCAAATGCTAATTTTCCATTCAGTTTGAAGGTTACAGCACGTTTGGATGTGCTATTGTCTCATTTCTGCTGGTCTAATTTAAGTTTAGGCCATTGATAAAAACCTTAATGAACAGTGTTGACCTACCAACCTAATTATTTGAAAAGTAGGCTACTTAGTGGTAGAAGTTTTTTTATGGTATGTGAGTAGCACCATAGACTATTATATACTAGCTTAGCTTGTATGAATGGTATCACACCTTTCAATGGGTAGATTTTCATCAATTTAATTTTTCAGGTCAAGTCACATGTCGGCTTTTGAAAAATAGAGAAAAGCACAAGACGATGTTTTAAATCATATAATACCAAGACTATTCAACAATTAGAACTCAAACGCTATAATGTGCTCACTTTCATGCATAATAATGACTAAGTGTTGACATATTATTAATAGAATAGTTACCTGATGCCAAATAATATATATTACATATAGTCCATATATAATAAGCGATAGAATGGAGACTGATCCGGTATGTTATATAGGCTTAACCAAAGATAATACCAAAGAATTGTCTAATACTATAAAAGATGATCAAAATATAAATATATTAACTGGGTTTATAAAACAAGAAGTGAAAGAAGAATGTTACATAACAAATATAAAAGTAGAAGACAACATTCATGAATTTGATAACAGTGGAATCATTGTTCAAAGCAAACATGATAGGGCTACTATTTTTTGCCAAACTAATTTAGAGAAAACCGAGTTTGATGACGTAGTGCCTGGTATTAAAAATGAAAACCAGAGTGAGAACTCTTTTGGTTATGAAACCCTGCCTTTGCCAATCAAAAATTTACAACTATTACCTTCTGAATTGAAAAATAGCAGCAAAGCTTCAGTGGTAGATACCAATCCTATGGAGAAACTTCCGTTGAAATGCACAAACTGCAAATACGGCACAACTGTTAAAAAGAATTTGATATGTCACATGAAATATTTTTGTAAAATGAAGAAGGGAAATCCAATTGAAAAATTACCATTTAAGTGTAATGACTGTTCATACGCTACTTCTTCAAAGAAGAATCTGGTATCTCACATGAAAAACCATATAGGACCTCCTCGATACCAATGTGTGTTATGTGACTATTCCGCAAAACAGAAGAAAAGCCTGACGATGCACTTACTTTCGCATGCCGGAGAAAAACCTCTGAAATGTGATGATTGTAACTATAGTACTGCGAACCGACAAAGTCTTCATCAGCACAAGCTACTGCATGAGGGTAAAAAGCCATACGAATGCAAAATCTGCGGGTACAGTTCAAACTTTAACTCTGCATTAAGATCTCACATGTTGATACATGACGATTATAAACCATTTAAATGCCGTTTGTGCGATTATCGGTGCAAGCAGAAGTGCAAATTGAAACCTCACATGTTGATGCATGCTGGTTATAAACCTTTTAAGTGTGAAATGTGTGATTTTCGTGCTGCTACAAGACAGAATCTAACCAATCACATGGCCTATCACAGTGATGACAGGCCTTTCCATTGTAATATGTGTGACTACAGTGCAAAAACAAAGAATGAACTGATGAAACATATCAACAGACATAACAATATCAGGAAATTCAAATGCCCTTTGTGCGACTACAGCGGCATCCGAAAATGTTACCTAACCATCCACATGACGACACACACTAAAGACAGGGAAAGACCCTTCCCATGTCCCTATTGTGATTATAGTGCGTACACCAGATTTTTACTGAACCAGCACATCTTGACACATTCCGGAGACTCTCCTTTTAAATGCTCCGAGTGTGATTACACCTGCAAACAGAAAAGTAATCTGAGAATGCACATGACTTTACATTCCGGCGTTCGCCCTTTCAAGTGTTTGAAGTGCAACTTCAGTTCTGCTTCCAAGAATGGACTAAAGCATCACATGAATGTGCATTCCAATGTAAAACCGTTCCGATGTTCTCATCCGTTGTGCCACTTCAGCGCCAAGACCAAATACGAATTAGAAGCTCACTCGAAAATTCACTTGAGGGATAAGAAATTCATCTGCTCCACTTGTGGGTATGGAACAGTGACAAAGCAGAATCTAGTCAGACACATAGTAAAGCATTCGGAACATCGGCCTTTTGAATGTGATAAATGTCCGTACAAAGGAAAGAACGGAATAAGTTTGAAAGTACACATGTTGATTCATAAATATGAGAACCTATTTAAATGTGCTGAATGTGGTCATACATCGCTCACCAAAGGTAGACTTGAGTCACATATGATGACACATCATGCAGAGATGCGTTTCAAATGTTTGAACTGCTCTTATGAAGCGAAACAGAAGATCAGTTTGAAATATCACATTATGATGCATCACACAAAAGAGAGATCTTTCAAATGTGAGGATTGTAAATTCAGAACCATCAACAAAGCCAGGCTGAGACGCCACAGATTAAAACATGAATCAGGAGATAAACCCCTGAAATGTTCTCTCTGCAGTTTCTCAACTAGGAGAAAAGACTCACTTCAGTGTCATCTGTCAAGACACAGAGGCTGGAAGAATCCTAAGATAAAAGATGAAGTGTGATTGACAGTTCTAGTCCAGTCAGTTTTAAGCTCAAAGAAAATTATTTAATTATTTGGGTATTTTGACTTATATCAGCTTAAGACTCGATCGTGTGCCATAAGACTCCCTCAATAAATTCTAGCTTGAACGTTAAAAGATTTGTGTTTGAAACTAGAATTATTTTATTTCTATAACAGTTCTCAAAGTTTTATTTAACTCCTTCTAAAACCCACATAAAATTACTTTTTTTTACCAAGTTGTTCTGTGTTCTGTTTTTGTTTTTAAAATTATAAACACTGTTTTAACCTTTATATCAAGAACTTAATACTTGCTTAGTTGTATAAGAGGTTATACATTTTAGTTTCTGTAGGTACTGATAGATTTCTCAGAGATTTAAAATATTTTATTTTAACAATTAGTTGAGAAATTGTTATGTTTTTGTTAGTATAATAAAAAAGGTTCCTTCAGTTTTTGCCAAATGTCTTATAGGACTGAGTAGTTTGTGGTTTTTAGTGGACTTGTTATGTTTTTATGTTAATTAATTAATAAGGTTTTAAATTACGTTAAGTAGTTAAATTTTTGTTACTGAAATACATGTCTTCAAATCAGCTTACTTCTATCTTGTTTTATCCATGTAAGAACTTGTTAAACATGGTTATACTTTCTGTTATGAGTTTGCAATTCAATTGCATGCAAAGTGTGCTGAAATACTGTTAACCATGGTTTAATCAATAACATTAATTTGTTAGACTTCCTCTCGTTTGGTTACAGAATTGAATTGGTTTTTGTGCTTATAGGCCTAATACATCTACAATTTATCAAATTCAACCTATTTAAATTGTGAACAATAGCCTAATAAAATTTATGTAAAGATTTTTAATAAATATTTTAATTATTGGTATGTTTGAATGAAACTAAGTTTAACTCTATGCATATTGCAAATGTCAAGACATTTTCTGTGATATGTCCCTTGCCATATCATTAAGTTACCAGTAAACAATTGCCAAAGGTTAAGTTATGTAAAGATTACAGAGTATAATTTGTTCTTTGTTTTGCTGCCATCACAATGTGAAGACTGATTTGTAAATAAAATATGTCATGTATTTACGTTCTTTTTTTCACATTTCCCAATTATCTTGCTTTGACCATTTGAAGGGAAACAACTTTGGGCAAAATGCTTAAACATTCAAGCTCCATGGATTTGATTTAATTTATTATGCCTAATAGTTTATTCATTGAATAAGCAACAAGTAGAAAACTAAACGATTTAAAACACTCGAATACACCAGTGATTTTTTCTTCTTTTTTTTGTGGACCTTTCCCACCTAATTCTGCTACAGACAAGTGAACTACTCATGAGTTGTACCACAGCCACCTCTAATACAAGGCCGCGGCGAGTGAAAAGCGGCAACGTCAACGTCGCATCAGTGTCTTGGCGTTCGGTCGTTTTACCATTACAGTGAATGGAGGAGTCGCGTACTCTACGTACATAATCGCGTTTCTACTACCTTTAATCATTAGTAATGAAATTAAACTTCTTACTACAGCATGCCAGATAGATGTGATGTGCCTGGATGCAAGAATTATTACGATAGCTCAATTAAAAAATGAATAATACATACAGTGTTCTAAGATTCTACTTGATCCACCGCGTAAGCAACAATTGCTTTCTGCTATTCTTCGATCAAATTAGACATCTTAAAAATATTCTCGTTTTTGTGTGAAACATTTTTCACGAATATGAGCTTAGATTAAATTTGTAAAAAATATAAGAATAAGACAATGACGCGTATAAATATAGATGCGAGAAGCAAGTTTTAGGTAGTAATACCGTACTATTTCCTTATTTATTTGTCTATCTTATTGATAAATGCTGTTGTTAAGTGATTAAAATAACTTAAATAAATGCCACTTCAAAGAAATAAGCCGGTGTTTCATGTTAAGTAGGCCTACTAGTAAAAAAATATGTAACCTACTGCACCATCGAACAATAAAAGCATCATAGTCTCCGAATCCAGTCTGAATGTTGATGTGATAAAAAATTCTATTAATATTGTGGAAAGCCATATGGAGGCCTATCTTCTGAAATCATTTACAAAATGGCAAACGTTTTTCTTAGTAATTATTCAAAGAAAATAAATTATTTAGTCAGTATGCCTTCAAAATGAAAACTTCAAATTTTGTTGTCACTAACTTATGGTTTCCTCAGGTAGACTAAAACATAATATTCCTATTAAAAATTAATTTTATTTGAACAAATTGTTAGATGTTAGTCTCTACAAATCCCAAAGTCTCTACAAATATTGAAGTGGCAATAAGTTAGTCCTACTGTATAACCATTCTTGGTATAGTAGCTTTATTTTGTAAAATTTAAGCACAGTCTGTATAGTATTTTTTACTATGTTGAATAACACACATATATACAGACACCATGAGATTGTTAGGCCCTATATAATAGTGTAGATTATCAAATTAACAAAGGAAATATTTAAAGTTCATCTATTTCCACATTCATCGTACTTACAATACGATAAATGCAACCAAAAACATTATGTTTGTATATTTTTAGTTTTAGACATATTGCGGTATGTTGCAATTTTTCACTAAATAAACAACCTAGATTACAATTTTGTCTATTTTACCATACCTTAAAATCTACTAAAATATGTTATTACGTATTTAAATACTTTCATTCATTGATACAGAGCAGCAATACTCTCATTGATGTTCATAGCCTAGCGCGTGTGAAGACGGACACAGAGGGGGTGTGATTGCGGCGTTGCCAGTTCGAACGTCGCGGCCTTGTATTAGAGGTGGCTGTGGTTGTACACTAGACCTGAACTACAAAAGGATTCAAACTCTACAATGCTGTCCTCTGGCCACAGATAAAAAACATGACACCGCTCAGTCTTTGAGTACACCAACGGTTTACCAGTCCCATTCGTAAAGAAAAAGCTCAAAGGGGGGTTTTCCTGGCTGCATGTTTTGGCACTGACTCATCGGTAAGGGTCAGGTTCAGAGCCGTTTTCCTAACTGCTGACTTCAGCAGGGTGTGCACCCTGAAGGATACTTATGCTAACACTTGCATGACATTCACAATTCTGCAGTCATATTTGGGAACTAGGAACACCTATCTTAAGCCCCGTACTAGACATGCAAGGCTGGTTTAAGGGGTTGCATAGGGCGCCAACAAAGAGAGTGATTTTAGGAGGAGACTAGAGACATCAAATATAGGCACTAGATAAACATCTCCCGCAGCCGTGTAGTTATCATCGTCGCCCACTACTGTGACTACAATTCTGGTCATCTCTCGCAGTTGTGTGGAAATCATCACGATCTCCCGCAAATGTGGCAAAATTCTGATCGTTTTCTGTGGCAACAGAAACATTATCACCATCTTCCGTGATTGCAGCAAAATCATTAACAACTCCCACAGTCGTGTAGACATTTTCATCGTCTTCCACGATCGGGGTAAAAATAATTTCTTGCCGTTGTATAATAATAGACATAGTTATTGGCTCCTGCGGTTACAGCAAAATCCTGTATATCCCCTGCAGTAATGTTAAAATTTGTATTATCTTCCACAGTCATGGCAAAAACAAACATCTCCTGCGGTCGTCATCGTCATCTTCCGGAGTCATGAAAACATCATCGACGTTCGATAGCGGCAAAAGTTTTAATCTTATGATCGCATATTATTCACTCTATTTAAAAAACAGTTTAAGGTCTACTAGAATGCTGTTTTCGTCCACTTTTATAGAAGACCATTAATAAAACTGAATCTATAAAACTGAATAAAAATAAATATGAAAACATATTGAATAAATACCAGACAGTTGACAAAGTTCAAAAACATGTACATGTTCAAAGGCTGCCTCTGGCACCAAAATCGAAAGGCAAAGTAAATTGTCCAAATCTTTGTCTACGCAAATGTGTTTACAAGACAACATCTGCTACTATTGCTTACAACACAACAGGAACTTTAAAATTTACAAACCACAAATCGTGACGATTCCTTAATTTTGAGAGGTGTTATAAAGAATAGCCACAGATTCAAATGTATTGTAAATTTATTAATTACATTCTCGCATTGAAAATTTACACATTTCAATAGACATCCCTCAAGATATTGAACAACAAAAGGTTCTCTCACAACAAACACAATAGTAACAAAATATTGAAAATACATCTAAGATAATTTTACAGCTTAACACATTATAAACCAATCCCACTTAGCAAAGTAAACAGTCTTTTAGCACACGCATCAAAGGGTTTAAATACATAACGCCTATAAATTAACATTAAATGCGATACTTTTGCTTACTAGTTAAACAACATGTTGACAACGTATAAAAGTCTACTGTTCAAATCCATGTCTAAAACTCTTAACGAACCCCAAGGAAATGAATGTAAAGTGAAGGTGTACAGTTGACAGGCACAGCTGTAGGTGACGTGTTCTTGATGCAAGAACCGTGCTCATGGTGAGGAATGTTAGTGAGCTTGTTTCTTGCGACTTGTTGCGATTCTTGCCAACAGCTGATTGCCACTGAGGAAGGTTACCACACCCAGACCCAACAAATACTTGAGGGTTTGGAACATGTTCAGCTGCAGCCAGAAGAAACCAAACAGCGTGAAGATGGCTACAACACAAAAATGTGGAGAATGAAAATTCCACATAGAGGTAGAGATATTTAAAGACTCCAACACATCAGGATATGTATTTAAGGTGATGATGAGTGAAAAGTTTAAGTGTTAATGGGTGAGATGATAACTTTATTCTGCTGGTTTTTTAGCCACAATTTATTAAAAGCCGATCCAAGACTGCTGGGTCGTTTCAAGACAAAATTTAAAAATCACCAAACACAACAAAATGTTAAATAGGTTTTTTTTTATTTATAAATTAATCATTACCTGTACTCATATTAGTTATGTTCTAACTGTTCACTACATTACAGGTGGTTTTTTAACACCACAAAAATTACCCCATTAGGCTACTTATGTTTTTAATGTTTTATAATTCAGTTTGCTGCAAGTTTGGTTTAGTGAGTTTATTGAAACTCATGCAAGGTTACTCACATAGTCCTGTCTTTAAAAAGGGTTTTTAGAATACGACACTAGTTAATTTAGAAAGACTTGTTAAGACTTTGACTGTTACTGTTTAGTAAAAAAGTATACTGAGTTTAAAAATACAGTAGTCCCATTAGTCCTAAATGGTTGGGACCGGACCCATTTTGGATTACCAAATATTTCGGATTAAACTTTTTTTTATTTTTTGAAAATTAAAAAAAAAATATTTTTTAAAATTTTTTTCTTAGGACGCTGTGCACGAGCCCGGGATTGTTTTCACATTACTTAAGGCAAGACCTAGTGGCTGCAGCATTATCACTTAGTAATATCCATTTGTGATTTGGCAGGATTGGATCCCGGGTCGAAAATGAAAAATGTTAACAAAAATAGTGAAATATTTACTAAAATACTCTACAAAAAAGTCCACCTCGCCCGGCCGCTACAGAATACTTTGACGAGGTACAGCTAACTATGTTACAAGTTTAAAAAAAAATTAAAAATTAAAAAAAATTTCACTAAAAAAAATTTAATTAAAAAAATTAAAATTAATTTAAAAAAGATTTAATTAAAAAAATAAAATACAAAAAAATAATATTTTTTTTTTGATTAGGCGGACTTTTGGATAACCGAAGTTCGGATTAACGGGACTGTACTTTAAAATATTAATCAAGTAGAGTATTTACCTCCTAAGCCCAAGTGGAATCCAAGAGCAGACAGCGAGAATGGGAAATTTGAGATGTTGACTCCAAGTTTGGCCCACTGTAACAGACATTAAAGGTTTTACCAAATTACAAGTGTGGAAATCTTACCAATATCTAAGAGTGATAGTCCCAGAGGGGAGGGGGTGGATCCACTCCCTAAATATCAGGATGGACCCCTGAAAGTTTGCACGATTTAGGTAATAGTTAAGTCAAGTCAGTGGTTGAGCGTGACATGCTCTAGAAATATGACAGTAATTTTACAGGTTCATATCTCACGAGCAACCAAAAATTGTTTCAGTACTTTGATTCTTCCACTACACAACATTTTCCTTTGCTTAGAGCAGGCATTGGCTTGAGGATCAAGGCTTATACGTTTCTAGCAAATGCAAGGTTAAAAGTGAACATATTCAGTGCTGTAAAAGAAATAGTTATTTGTGTAACTAGTACGCGAAGTGGCACTTAGCGCACACCTTACACATTATATTTTTCCTAGACAGTTAACGATCATCATAATAACCATAATAATCATAATGACCAATTACTAATTAGTCTTGCAAACACTAAACACCACATTTTAGGTTAGGTTAAGTCGTCAATACTCAAAGGCTGTGAAACAATGCACCAGCTGATCGTAGTCGTAGTATCTTTAGGTGTTACCAACTTATTTTCAAGCTGTACGTGTTACGTGCCTTTTAAAAGCACATTGTTTTGTGTTGTTTGGTTGGAATACTGGAGTGCGGTAAAGTAAAATGAGTGTGGCAAAGTAAAATGAGTGCCTCAAAGTAAAATGAGAGCGGCAAAACTAACTAAATGCAGCAATTAGTTACTTTGCGTGCTATAATCAGTGCAAGGAAGCCTTCTTTGTCAAGTAACTGTAGGAAAAAAATAACTTACTAGAATTTTTCCAACCGTTACTTAGCACACTAGTTACACTATTAACTATTATACAATGATGATTTGATTCCATTCATGGGGCAAAATGTCTAAATGGATTTTGAGAAAATTACTAACCAATATTAGCAAGATGAGGAACGGTACAGCAACCAGTCCAGTGAACAAGGTTGAAACAACAACAGGAGGTCGTCTCTCAGGTTCTCGGAAAAGATGCTGCGGGAAAAAGTACATCAGCAATCAGCATGAGTCATATTGATGTAGAACCTGTACTATTGTAGTTGAAATGTGTCATATAAATATTTGAAACAGCAAAAGAAATTTTATAGTAGTAAGGCTCATACCTTAAATTTTCCACTTATGTCGTTAACACTATTTACGTGAGTTGTGTACACTACTTTACCTTTGACAGTGTTTTAATTACTAAAAATCACTACTCATAACTTCTAAGAGAGGTATGTTTTCACTTATAACCTCTCATTACCACTGACAGCGATGCAACAAAACATTGTACCAAACACTAATTGCACCACTAGGCAGCACAAGGTAGGAATATTGAAGAGGTGGAACAGAAGCTGACTATGACTCTTAATGAACTTTCCCGGTACTATGACGCAAACCACCTCAAGCCGAACCCTGCTAAGACCCAAGTTTGTGCCTTTCACCTAAACAATAGAGAAGCAGGCCGTGAGTTGAATGTGAAGTGGCGGGGAGACCGTCTTCAGCATTGTCCTGCACCCAAATATCTTGGTGTCATACTGGACCGTACACTGACATTTAAGGTGCATTGTATTGCGACAAGAGATAAAGTCTCAGCGAGGAATAATATCATCAGGAAGCTCACCAACAGATGCTAGGGTGCTAACCCTAATGTCCTCAGAACCTCAGCTTTAGCGCTCAGTGTGTCGGCTGCACCAGTATGGAATGCATCGTCACATGCAAAAAAGGTTGACATTGCAGTCAATGACATGGCTCGGATTGTAACTGGGTGTTTGAAACCAACCCCGGTACACTCTATCCTATCATAGGGATCGCCCCTCCATCAATCTGACGTGATGTCACTGCCGATGCAGAAATGACTAAGCAAGAGACAGACCCTCGTCACCCATTACACGGCCACCAACCTGCAGATCGACGGCTTCGGTCCAGAAAGAGCTTTTTATCACGGACACGAGTCCTGGATGGATCACTCTCAAGCAATCGGGTAGTAAGGTGGGAGGCCACGTTGACTAACCCTCCCAGTAGGGGTGTGCGAGTACTCGAATCTTCGAGCTTTTTGGTCGAGCTTTTCATTATTCGGCTCGGCTCGAGGCATTTTGAAAAAGCTCGAAGTTCGAGCCGAGCTTTTAATACTGTCAAAACTAAAAAAAAAAAACACTTAATTTGGGTCATAATTGAAAACAATGTTATCACAATTCTAAGTTGTTCATGCATTCGAGGTTTGATAAGCACGAACCTCAGCTCAATCAAGACGCAATGATTATCGATCGTAATTTTGAGGAGATAGGAAAGAGACAAACTACCAGCTATCGCGGTGTCTTTCTAACACAGCTGACAGCTATTCGTATCGTAATATACAACGCAGTGCGAGTGCGTGATTGGCTCGTCGCTATGACGACACACGGTTGCCGTGACAACCTACAGTGCGCCTTTGCCTTGTGTTGGAGGGGGGATTATAACAACAAACTATTTCAGGAATTCTATTTTGGGACGGATGAAAGATAAGGAAGAAACAAAATGTGGTCACGTGTGCAAATGTAGTGGGCTGTAAACGAGTATCGTCGTGCCGTTGTTCCTTGTTTGTTTACTTTTTCAGATTCCTTATCAAACGCCCCTATCTGCTATCTCTCTTTCTCTCTCTCCCTCTCTCTGCTCTCTCTCTCTCTCTCTAACAACGTACTGATTAAACAGATTGTGGTTGACAACTTTTCTACTTATAAGTTTCCCTGGGTTATTTTAGTTCAATCAATCCCATAACCTTTCTGATGTTTATCAAAATAATTAATTAATCTGTTTTGTATTTTATTTCCTTTAAACCAACCCCTATTTACCATCTATATTTTATAGAATAAAATGTTTGTTTATAAAGTTTGACTGGCCACACAATTTTGTACCTATTTTATTCTGTATAAAGTAACAGTTACTTTGATGATTGATTATATATATATATATCAATAAGTGGTGCGTGCTGTAATGAATGCTTTGTATGATCAAAATAAGTAATGAATTATTAATTTTTGATAATACATGGATCATTGAATACCATAATGTGATGTAGTTTCCTATTTGTAACTTGCAAATAATAATAATTGATAGTTAATTTTGGAAAATGAAAAATAGTGATCGCATTCATAAACCTGTTGTCAAAACAGCAACGCAGGCGGGTGTAAGGGTTTATTGTTTCAGAGGCTAGGGTGTTTCAAGGACAAAGTGTTGGATCTCCCGGCTTATGGGGGGAGGGGGGCGGTGAGACTGTGTGAAGGGGAGGAAACTGGTTTTGGCTATTTATTGATTAGTTCGCCGACCCTTCTAGATAACAAAATTGAGTGACAGTATTAAATCATCGTGTTCTTTATTTCATTTCTTGTTTACTTTGTGTGTTATTCTATTAATTTTAGTGTTTTGGTCTATTTCCTCTATATGTTAATTATATTTTTTAAATATATAAGTTTACTTTTTACTTGTCTCTCCACCTTTTTGGATCCAAACCAACCATGTTCTTTTTTGATTAATACAATTCATGAAACAAAAATATTTTGTATAATGAAAACAACAAGAATAATCATGTGTTTTTAAATTTATTTTGTATTTATTTATACAAAATAGAATTAGATATTCATAGTAGTTACAATATACATTATGTAATCAATCGACTTGCTAGTTGTTTTGTCGTCATTCAATGTCGCGTTGCTGCTCTGTTATGAAAGACAATCTGATTGTCTCTGTCTGCACTGCATATCTCGTCAGCCCTTCAATCGATACCCTTTTATTTCTTGCATCTTAATTTAGTTCCGTTCTTATCGTGATTATCTACTATTTGGTGTCTTGACAATTCTCAATGTTTTTAAACATATGTATTAAAATAACATTGTGTTTATTTAAAAATTGACTGAACATTATTATTATGCACCTTTTTAAGAAAAAAAGTTTAATAATTTAGATAAGGTGACGCTAGGAATTTAGATAAGGGCTCGAAAAAGCTCGAGCTCGAAAATTTTTTAAAAAGCTCGGCTCGGCTCGAGGTTGAAAATCACTATTCGCACACCCCTACCTCCCATACCAGACCAGCCAGGGAGGAACTGGCTCCTGGTGGAGGCCTGCATTACACGGTGTGGAAGACCCTAAATCGAATCAGGGTCGAGGTACCAAAATGCAAGACAAACATGCAGAAATAAGGTCTTTTACCAGATGAACAAAACATCTTGTGTGCGTGTAGAGCTGTTCAGGATCCTGGCCATCTATGATCTGTCCACGCCTAGATCAGTCTTGCACATTAGATGATATTTTACAAGCGAATGACAAAGCCATATCGGTAGCTAATTTTTTGAAAAGCGAAGTCTGATTTCCGGACACGGAAAGTAAGTATTGCACCACTCAACAGTTAAATTGGCCTGAACAGCTGATTTGTTGAAGTTAGAACAATTACAATTTTACTTCTCTCTCAATCCTTGAAACTCATTAACTGCCTTGAACGTCATTGGTCTGATACCCGTGTTGTTATGAGTAAAACTATGCTGTTATGAAAGTAAACAATGCTGTTACGTAAAACTTTTCAATTCTAAGTACTAAACTGAAACGGCTATTTAAAAAACGGTCGTAGGTAAAATAGTTTTGACCACATAATTTGTGGTTCATAGCAAAAAAAATTCTTTAGTGTTAATATGAACTCTGAAGAAATATATCAAGGAAAAAGGAAATTATACACAACAAACTTTGAAGAGTTCCAGTCAGTTGATTAAACGTAAGAAGTTCAACACAAGAACACTATTTCTTTCATATTCCCCTTCAAGAGAACGGTTCCAACAGTGTAAGTTTTGTGACTGTCAGTCTAATACGAATATTTCCTTCTGAAGAAGTCCTCTTGAACTCTTTTCTTGGGAGAGTCAGTTGTGTATGCATTCTGTCAACGCCCTTTCCTTTAAAAACTCACTTTAACCTGAAAAGGCTAATTAGAAACTAACTAATATAGATATATGGTTAGAGAACAATATTTATCAATAACAATTAAGATTTTACTGCAATAATTATAGTTGCTGATCTTAAATATGTATGAATGTTAACATAGGTAAATAGTTTTAAACCTTGAATTTCGTAACTTAAATGCCTTCATACAACACCTTAAGAAAACTAAAATAAACGGTATCAGCAATCTGACACACTTTCTCGCATAAGCTTAACAACAACCTTTAACAAAATTTACAAATCAACAAATGTACAAATCAAAATTTAAAAAAAAAAAAATTAAAAAGTGCCTGGAGATACTATGGATTAGTACCTACAACCAAAAGTTCAGGTATGTACAGGTTTGGTCTGTAGCTCTGTACATCCACACATACACACACAGACGTCACTTTGAAAACCAATTTTTTGAGTCCAGGGGGGCCCAAAACGTAAACTCGAATATGTTGACAAAAACAATACTTTCTCCATACACTATGGTATAGGGGGAGTAAGTAAAAGCAAAAATATGAAAGTGTGATTCAAGCAACTGTCAATTTTATAAGTGTTGACGAAGGACGAAAGTCTACTTGTATGTAAAATCCGCTAACCTTTATCTCTGGCTTAGGCTGATAAATGGAGGTGGAGGGGGGAGCTTGGGTCGAGTCCAGAGCTAGCTTCAGTTTAGTATCAGCCAACAGCCATGAGAAGGAATTGGACAGAATGACATCCCCAACAATCAGGTTGAGAGAGTAAGTGCCAGACAACTGACCAAAGTCTGCTGCCTTAGCTCCCATGTCCTGAAAACATTCATGTTGAGATACAGCACAGGCAGTAAAATAGAAAACAATCGCTACCAATAATTATAGTAACTTATTCAGACCAACAAGCTATATAATTAGGCTAAAATATTATAAAAATTACAGACATAGACTGAACAATGAATGGCTGATAGAATGTGAACTGAACAGAGAAAGAAACCACTTGTGTAACTCTAAACAACATCATCAGAGTTTATAAACTGACCCTCTTAGTGCTGTGGCATTGCTCACATTCAATTTTATGTACTGTACTTACAGAACACCCTGTATGATCAATCTATGATCAATCAATGAGATCAGTGAAAGTGACTATTTTTTACAGTAAGACAAACTCTTAAGGCCAATCTAAATACAAATAAGATTATGGAAATACTCACGATGTACATAACAGTTTGATGTAATCAACATTTCTTGTAAATATCTTATCATTTTTCAAAAGCTGATCTTGTTTTTAGTGTTTTCTACAAATGTTTTCCACTCATAGCTACATTAGGTTGTCCATAATAACGATTATAAATAATAAAAAAAAACATTATTTCTATTCTCCTTGGTAGTGTTCTACATGACTTTCCTATGTTTCCATAGTTTGCATATCGGCTCATTCTTTCGATGATTGCTTAAGAAATGCAACACAGTGTTGATTCGGTTAACTTTTTAGTATACAAATTGTCCAGGCTTTCTTGCTTTTAGCGAATTTCCCTATAGGGAAGTACTACCGTAGGTGGCACGGTAAGACCTAGACCCGGGACCGATTTACTTTTTCATTTTGATGTCCCCAGAGGCCAAAAACACTATTCGTTCAAATTTTTATATATGTATATATATATATGTATATATATATATAGACTTATATATATATATATATATACGTCCGTGAACGCGATAACTTGAGTAATTTTTGTCCGATTTTGATGAAATTTGGTTTAAAGGTGTAAAGCGGGATAAACTTGAATGAGTTCGCGAACCAGCACGATCGGACCATGGGAACGGGGCTTTACGGGGGTTTTATGGGGTAAAAATTGGTTTTTCTCACTTTTGACCCTCAAAACACAAAATTTCCCAATTTCTCTTTAGACCTTTTTAAAGAGCTTAAAAAAACAAATAATTTAGTATATAAAAGTATTTTTGTTCGATTATTAGTAACGGAGAACATTAAAAAAATTGTAAATTTAAAATTCCCATGTTATTCTTATGGAGAATATTGTCAAATGTTGTAGTTTGCTTGTTTATGAATATATTTTGATCAAACTTGGCAAATTTATTTATTTTGTACTAAGCTATCAATATTTTACTCAAAAACACACTTTATTAGTTTCCTTGTAGCAGCAAACCTAGGTACTCGCTAAACCTAATGTTATTAAAATATATTTAACTGAAAATCAATTCAGACAAATGGAAATTCGCTTAGTTGGCAGGTTTGCTGCAGCGGGGGTATTTTCCATTGTAATATTTACGCCAATCCAAATTCAAATAGTAAATATTTCACTTCAACCAAGTCAGTAAATGTTTGTAGCACACATTTCCTTAAATTGCAACTAAAATATTAACAGAAATTATATTATCAAGCTGATCATAAACAAATATGTCCTTCATAAGGATAATATGGTAATTTTTAAAGCCACTGGGACAGAGCCCAAGGGACCTTCTTCAAAAATGTAAGGTCAGTTTCCGTTTCCAAATCTACACACCTAGACAAACATTTTTGTACATAATATATCGAATTAAATTTTAAACAGGGTGTCTAGTTTATTTCCATTATAAAATTCAAGACTAATTCCAGACTTTTCAAGACTAATTCCAGATTTTTCAAGACTAGTTTTTTCAACAATTAGTGTTGAACAATTTGTGTTGGGTGTTGATACCAAAATGTATCGATTCTCGATTCTTGATACCGATACCAATTTTTATAGCTTAACCAAATTTTCTGAATAATACTACAACAACCCCTGTCTTTGTCATAAAGTAGTATTATGATAATGTGGTGTTTTCAAGTAAAGAAATAATGCAGCAATAAAAAATTCTAACTAGCAAATTTGGTTTTTTTTTATCATGAAATTTTCCACGTACCGTACGTTTAGACATCATCTTTGACTGCAGCGGTTACAGAAACGTGATCGTCGTCAACCGCGATCACGGCAAACCATGAACATTTCCCGCGGCCTTGTAGACATCAATGACATCATCGTCGTCTCCCGCGGTCTCAGAAACGTCATCGTCCGCGATCGCGGCAAAATCATGAACATTTCCCGCGGCCGTGTAGACATCATCGTCGTCTCCCGCGGTCACGGAAACGCCATCGTCGTCTCCCGCGATCACGGAAACGTCATCGTCATCTTCCGCGGTCACGGAAACGTCATCGTCATCTCCCGCGGTCACGGAAACGCCATCGTCGTCTCCCGCGATCACGGAAACGTCATCGTCATCTTCCGCGGTCACGGAAACGTCATCGTCATCTCCCGCGGTCACGGAAACGTCATCGTCGTCGTCCGCGATCGTGACAAAATCATGAACATTTCCCGCAGCCGAGCAGATATCATCGTCGTCTCCCACGGTCACGGAAACGTCATCGTCGTCTCCCGCGGTCACGGAAACGCCATCGTCGTCTCCCGCGGTCACGGAAACGTCATCGTCTCTCCTGCAGTCACGGAAACGTCATCGTCGTCGTCCGCAATCGTGACAAAATCATGAACATTTCCCGCAGCCGAGCAGATATCATCGTCGTCTCCCACGGTCACGGAAACGTCATCATCGTCTCCCGCGGTCACGGAAACGCCATCGTCGTCTCCCGCGGTCACGGAAACGCCATCGTCGTCTCCTGCGGTCACGGAAACGCCATCGTCGTCGTCCTCGATCGCGGCAAAATCAAGAACATTTCCCGCGGCTGTTTAGACATCACCGTCATCTCCCGCGGTCACGGAAACGTTATCGTCGTCGTCCGCGATCACGGCAAAATCATGAACATTTCCCGCGGCCGTGTAGGCATCATTGTCGTCTCTCGCGGTGACGGAAACGTCATCGTAGTCTCCCGCTGTCACAGAAACGTTATCGTCGTCTCTCGTGGTTTCGGAAACGTCATCGTCGTCGTCCACTATCGCGGCAAAATCGTGAACATTTCCCGAGGCCGTGTAGACATCATCATTGGCTTTTGCTGTTACGTAAACGCAAGACGACGATCGCGGCAAAATCATGAAAATTCCCGACTTTGAAATCAAATTTAAGACTAAATCCCGACTTTTCAAGACCATTTTGAAATTCAATACTAATTCCCGACTTTCCCGATTTTCCCGACTACTAGACACCCTGTTTTAAAACAAAAAAGCCTTATCGTTCACAAAGTTTCATGTAGCGTATTAATAATATAGGTAGATGACTAAGACATTGTGGTACAGATTTTAGAAGACAAGTTGAGTACATACCAAGTCAAAGCGGTAGCCCTGGTTGTTGGGGTCAACTTCTGCGACAAAGATGATCTCCTGCAGAGTAGCTTTGTTCTCGAACCGCAGGAACGCTTGGTGAACGTTCAGCGGCTTGCCACTGTTCTTGTCCTTGAGTGTAAACCGCACGACCAGTTTCTGCTGTGTATCCAACTCCAACACACGACCCAACTTTGTGGGGAACACAACTCTGCACAACAGTTATGAGTGTCAACATCGAGATTTAATTTAAATTGTAACAAAAATGAGTATAAATAACTGGATAGAATATTGCATTTGTGCGTTAACAGTTTAATTCAAACTCAGTAGATAGTGATAAAGTGAAACCTAAAGAAAAAGAGTTTACTAAAATCCAACCTATCAGTTATTTTGAAACACTAAATGACAAAATTCATATTTTTCTACCAATTTATTAAAAAAAAATTATGAAAAGTTACTAGAGACTTGCTTGGGTAAAAACATAGTAGAGCGGCGCTAGAGTGTAGCTGAGCAGGTTTTTAATAAAATGTACATCTTAGGAACTAATTTGTGTTTTAGAATAATTAAGGACTGATGAACAATTTTTAAGAAATCAAGACGAAGCACCTGTACATGTGATTTTCACAAATTTGTATGTTATGTGCAAATAAATTATCATTATCATTACATAGGTCGATAGGTGAGCCAAACCATTCATTCTGAGGATTAGTTTTTGCAGTAGATTATACATTACAATTTACACAAATAGTATTTGTTCGGGACATGATTTTCTGATTCTGAAATTTATGGATTTGACTAGTGATTGGCAAATAAAAAATTTTGAATCTTGAATTTGTTTAGCTTTCCCTCTCTTTTTTGTCAGTTATTGAAATAATATTGCATTTGTAGCCACGATAAAAAGTATTAATAAATTTTAATGTCAATTCTAAAACCAAGAATCGGTGGAATTGAGAGTTGACTTTTGGAATCGGCCCATCCCTAATAAAAATGTTCTTGTATATTTATAGTTTTGTGTTGTAGTACATTAATAAAGTTAAAATCACTAAAAACTTATATGTCAGCAAATTGTTTTTAACATTCTATGTTCCCTTTTGTTGTCTTACATGTGTGGTTTTCATTGCCGCCGTCGCCAATATGGCGAATAACAATCTTGGCTTTTAATTTTAATTCTCAAGTCTAATTTTGAATTTAATTTTTTCTGAAAATTCAGTGGATTAGAGTTTTGAGATTCATCTTTTACTCATCCCTATATTGGAAGATTTTTTTGTACATCGTATCCTACTTACTTATCAAACTTTGGCTGTGTGGTCTGATCTGAATCGCCGACTCCCAGTTCAAAGGTGTCCACAGTGACGGTGGCCATAACCTTGAGAGGCAGTGTGACGCCGATGTTGCCGACCAGTCGAGGATCAGACTTGGCTGGTACTGCGCTCACTGACAGTCTGTACAACCCTGGCTCTGGCTTGCTGTCCATCAGGTTCACACTGAACACTGTCCTGCCAAACAGCAATATCTACCATCAAACTAGCATGTACCAGCACAAATAATCATGTGAATGTGAAGCAAAGTAATTATTTCTAACTACAGTAAAACTCCATCTATGTAAACAGCAAGCACCCGCATTGTCGATCATTCGGATCACTTCAAGGAAAAATTATACTCTTACAGCGAATTTCCATTCACCTGATTGGATTAGGCCTAAGACATATTTCTTAAACATTTCAGATCGGTTCCCAATTTCTACAATAGGTTGCTTATCTTCCATAGGAATAGAATACAAATTTCAAATTAACAGTTTTTTTTTATGTTAAGACCTGTTGTCCACTAAAGTCCTGAACATTTCGTTAATCACTCTGGTTTAAAGGCGGCTTCATTTGTGCCTATTTAGGACACACCGAAAAATACTTTTTCGTCATACTGCAACTGAGAGGACTTATCTTTACTTGCCCCACTGAATCACCATGCCTCAGGATATATAGCAAAGGTAGGATATATGATGAAAATTTGGTAAGTAGGTGGCTCAGTCGGTAGAACCATAGACTTTGAGCAAGGCAGTGATGTCATGGGTTTGGATCCTAGGACCTACCACTACTTTTTAGTACACTTCACCCTTGTACTGTACCAGCTCACGCCTTACTTAATCGTTAAATATCATGTAAGTTTAAAAAAATAATAATCTCTACGAAGTTGACAAGTGTAACAACGGTTTCACTAGAAAAGACAGTTCACAAAATCACATGAATTACTCACTTGTCAGATGTGGGTTCAAACTTCTTCTTGGACAAGACAACAACATCGTCAGCACTCCTGGTGGCAGACTCCACAGTCACTGAGAGGTCAGAGGTGAGAGGTTGACCCAGCAGGTTGGTCACCTTGACTGACACTTTGGGCTGATCCTGAGACACCACTCCAGGACCAGCCAGGCTCACCACCACGGGGATGTGGTACTGAACAGGCAAATCATTGATGGCATACGAAACTTTGTACGGTATCTATGTAATTTGTTTGAAAAAGTAGGATTTAACCCTAATATTATTGTCAACTAAAAATTTTGCTAAAATTAACTTTTTTTTCTTTCTACGCCATTGGCATTTCACAAGAGAATAAATGTTTAGTGTGTTTAGTGCTTAGTTTATTTTATGATATAAGATAGTTAAAATTCAATTTTGGGGGCTCTAAACAAAAGATGATTCATGCTAATCCTGCAGGTTTAAGTATGTCGCAGTATGCACATCCCTGGGCTTAGTTTATTTTATGATATAACATAGTTAAAATTCAATTTTGAGGGCTCTAAACAAAAGATGATTCATGCTAATCCTGCAGGTTTAAGTATGTCGCAGTATGCACATCCCTGGTACTAAAATCCTTGTGATGACTTTGATAAATCACATCAACTAACTACTAACATAAATCATTGAAAATTGAATTATTATTGCTTGATCCAGCAAAATAACAAGCTTCTTACGTAGTACTTGGAAATGATCTCTAGTAGCACTAAGGAGCTGTGAGTCGATTTACTACGTTTTAAGTGTGAAAAAAATATAATTCGACTCCTCAAATGTGCTAATCCAAACAAAGATTCTTCATTATTGTTATGGTATCATGGAGACTCTATTGTGTTTTTTGATGTTATCTAGTAATTTTGATTAATTATTTTATAAAATACAAGTGATTTCAATTGGAGAGCATCTCGATTGCTTATTCTGAAAAACAACGTAAATTCGCTTAGTATGCCTAATGTTAATTATCTCCTAATTTTATAGCCCCAGTCTCATGGATAGAGGGTAAATAGTGGTTTTACTACACTATCAAATAGGTAAATAAAATTTAAAAAAGTTATTTTTTATTCAGGTTATTATTTTGCAAAAATACCCTGATCTAGGATTGCAGAATCAGACATACTCTTATGCACCTACGCTGTATGCAATGAGATTAGCACAAGCCTAGCTATGGCTATATTTGCAACATGTTGAAGTTTGTGGAATTACTAGGGGTGTGCGGGTCAGACTTTTATTCGTAAACGTCATAAGCAAACTTAATATTTAATTTTCATGAACATTTTAATTCCTTTGTTTGTGTTTTGTGTTTCTTTAAAATAAATTATTATTCGTTTTTTGGCCCGACCCGATCTTGGCCAGAAGAAATCTCTGACCCGACCCGGTCTCTCGGGCCTTCCGCTGGCCTGACCCAACCCGAAAGATTCGCAGGACCAGCAGACCTCTAGGAATTACCGTAGGTTACAGCACCTAGGTCTGTCTACATTGAACACAACATTACTTACACAGGTTTAAAACATTAACATGCAACATCCATGTTGGTTACAATGATTCAAATTCCACACAAACAGCTACCATATGAATGACTGACCTTGTTGTTAGTAAGTATGCTAAGAACGTCCAGCAGGCTGTGAGCTCCTTTGGGCGTCTGCACAGATCTGCGGCTGAGGAAGTAGTTGGCGAACTTGACGGCCTGTTCACCAGAGATGGGCGGAGGTTTGTTGGCTACAGCTGCTAGCTTGTACGCCCCACTCACGATCAATGCTGTAATTGTGACAAGGTGTGATCACGGAAGGTTTGAGTATGGAAGAGATCTACAGGTCCATTGGTGGTTAGGAGGTATAGGCGAGCGTGCTATCCTAACAAAACACCTTAAAAACCTAGACTTTATTGATGTGTGTTACATCCTTAAATAAAAGACAAAATGGAAAGGGAAAGATGTTCTAAAGCAGGATTTTAGGCTAAAAAGAAAATATCTGATGAGGGAGCTCCCCATTTAGAGAGATAAGGATTGAGGACGCTTATCTACCCACCTGGGTCATTAGGGTTGATACATTATTTATTTACAAAAAGACTTGCTTGTCTTTGGATATAAAACCAAGTATCCTAGATAAAAACAAGTCCTACTGTATTGGAGGACTATACCAAACCCAATTAAAAATTAAACGGATACTGTTAACATTTAAATACTGGCTTGAATCAAAACAATATCTAGTAGGTCTTTATGTCATATTAATCATTAACAGATTTAAACCTAAACAATTTGACACTTTTAACATTTGCAACCCAAAGTAAAGGTGAAGGGAGCCAACTTCATGTACACCAAAAATCAGAATTATGATTGTTGAGCAGTGTTAACCACTTATGACTGAAACATAGAGAGATTTTTAAACTAAAAAATAAACCAGATATGTTCATCTTTTACTTGATAACAAACTTATCCACCAACCTGTGATACTGAGACCTCCTTCAAACTGCAAGAACTTTCCATCAACCTCGTCTGCTTGGACAATTGCGTCTTCAATGCGGTTGAAAATAACATTGACATCCCCACCCGCTACAGCTCCGATATGGAAAGCATAGCCTAGGCTGTAATTGTAAAGCATTGTACACTTATCAACAGTACTTGATTGTTTAGAAACTGAAGTGGCTTAATTACAACGTAGGATGTATAAATATTTCATAATCGTATGATTTAATAAATCTCACTATTGGTTTGAGAAATTGTTATTAAATAGTCTAAAGTTAAAAAAGAATATTGGTTCTCACTCTGCTCTACAAAAATGGTCCGGAATGCCTGTCTAATTCAAACCACACCCTGAGCCTGCTTAGTATTTCAACTGAGGTTTGATATACAGTGGACTTCTTTAAAGTATTATACAAAATAGCTCTTTGAGCCTAACTGATTATGATTCACACATAAAAATTAAAACATTTACAAAAACCAATGGGTTTTGAAGTAAAGATGATGTGCAACATTAGGTCTATTTTTAAAACACAGTGGCAAAACCAGAGAATTCACAATTCCCTTAAAAATTAGAAACAGATACAACATAGAAAAAAAAAGAAAAAAAAATGAATAGGACTAGTTTGAATAGGATTTGAATTAAAATAATTACTGGATTAGTTAGTTTTAAAAGAGCTACTTTCAAACTACAATAAGCTGATGGAGCAAGCTGGTCTACTGGTAGAGCGTGGGGCTTCGGTGCCCGAGGTTCCGGGTTCAAGTCCCGCCAATCACCAATGGATTTTATCAATGTGATAAACAACCCTCTAGGACTAGCCTGAAGTAATGTGTAAAACAGTTCTGGGCTAGAACTAGCGTCCTAGGATGTGAAGGTAGATCAGAAAAAAAAAACTTGTACTAGGCTAAACTGTAAAAACTTTGATAACAGTACCAAACTGGTTCCTTTCTAATTACTTGCAACCAATTGGTTTACACTCAGCAATAAGCAATAGAAAGGACGTTAAGACACAAATCCTACTAACATCTTTGATACAGAACTTCAGCTCAAATAAATCACAACACTCAGTTTTTGGGTTAGGCCTATCCAAAAGCAATATAGCTACCACATAGCCTAATCTCAGTTACCTAGCCGTGCTGTCGTCCTTCTTAAGAGCCGCTTGCAGGTTTTTAAGAAGCTTTGCCGTGTCAGGGAGTTTCTGACCAAGACTTGACAAAGCCAGGGAAGCATAGTACAGATCAGGCACACTCGAGCTTTCAAGCTCCAACACGCCCGTCAGTTTCTAGCAAAAAAAATTACAAAATTACTTTACAGTGCAAAACATACGTTTTAAAGTCTTCAAATCTTCAAAGATTAAATTCTTCTATTGATAGCATGACAATTGGATAGAATAAAATGAAACAACCACAGACATAATTAAGTGCGTTTTTATGCTTGCAGGGATGTAACAAAGTCGCAGATTTCTTGTGATAGACCAATATTATTTAGCTTTGTGAAGGAAGTTAAATGGATGGTTTACAATTAATTCTGTTTCAAGATCGAAGGAAAATTAAAACACAAAAGTTAAAAGAATGAGGATTACGCTACGGTACCTACAACATGTGGGCTGTGGCAACACTTTAAAGAAATATTGGTACTACCCTTAAAAAAAAATAAAATTTTGCAATTTTCTTCATTTAGTAGTTAGGCCCTAACTTAATGTGTTGTGATTAGGCCTAGAAGCAAAGCTGACTAACTTGCTTTGCAAATTTCGGCTATAAGACTTAAACTAAAAAAAAAAAGTTTTTTGGTAGCATATTACAGATGCATATTCTCAGTTACGGTAAAGAGCATTTAAGCAATAATCTATGAAATAAAAATTACCTTGACAATGTTGGCAGTAGGTAATGTTCCAGGGCAGTTTCCGAGAGCTTTCCATGTCCCAGTAACATAGAACAATGTTTCTACAGTCGGGGTTCCTCCAGCAGCTGCTATCAGCGTTTTGCAAATCTCCTACAGGTTTGAGCATGATAGAATGTTAATAAGAGCAATAAACGGGATCTTAGATAGCCTGAAGCTACATTTGCAAAATTGAGAAAAATTTGTACTGTAGTACGGGAAATCACTACAATTGAAATTTAACATATAGTCATTAGTGGAGAAAATGCCCGATACAAAAAAGTGCTTATTTTTTTATTGCTAGATTAAAGAACATATAGCCAGAGGTCATGGTGTTATTATAAAGCTAAAATAGCATCATCATGCCACTGAGACTTTCGTTGGTACCTACCACTATTGTACAGCATGGATAAAATTTAAAAGCTAAGCCATGGAATATATCATTTTGGAGTGGGCTATCCAATACAACTAGCTGACAGTGCAGAGTAATTTAGGTAGGGTTTTGTTAATAATGATGGGGGATTTACATCTAGGCTCCAACAGAAAACATGCTAATCACTAGGCCAGCCACATCCGAACCTTAACAAAATAATAAGATAAGAAGTAAAAACTAAGTTAAAACCTTCCAAAATATTATTAACTTATACAAACCTTGTCATTTGGAACGGACCCTCCTTGAGCCTTGAGGCCAATAACCGAATAGTATGTAGTTGGAAGATCTTTACCATCTAATGAAGCAGTGAAAACCTGATGAAGCCGACTTCTCTCCGATGCTGATAGAAATGAAGTAGTTGTGGTGGCTGTCCATGTAAGTTCAGTCAGGCAAACTAGAGCCAGAATCAGTATAGGACCTGCAAGTTAAGGTAAACAATATGACCTTTCTCATCGTCGTGTTTATAAGTTAGCCTATATTCAAGGAGTTTGCTTATTAAGTGGAGATTAAGGCCTATTCAATAGCAAAGTCAGTTGGAGATTAGGACCCAAGATCTGAATTTAATAAGATAGTGGTACTGGTAAAGACAAAGACGCCAAAATATATTTATTTGGGCTCCAGCTTAATAGGAGACTACTACTATTAAATAATTTAATTGAATTTTTAGGCCTAGATACAAGTTATCAACCTTAGGCTAAATGAATTATTGTATTTTGTTGCAGAATTCATGCAATAGAATTCTTTTAGGCTACTGTAATTAAAGTTGGAGTTAAGGCTAACAGGTAGGCCTATTGAGCCAACAGTTCTGAACTTGTAATTAATCATAGGGGGAGATTATGCTAATAACAAGCTGCTATACCCATACTTCACATTTTATAATCAGCTGATGGTTAATGTATAATGTATAATAGTAAATGTAGGACATAAACTTAAGTGCAACCACTTAACTTATTGGATATTCTTAGTCTTGAAAAACACCATGTAACATGGATTTTTACTCAGAATTTTTCAGCACAGTCCCAACATCATCACTAGTACAATACCTCTGCGTATCCATACTAGTGGAAATTGGAAAATGTGAGTAAGTTAAGTTGTGGTTGGGAGTGTCCTTGTCCTAGGATCTTAGGCTACAAGTCGCTTCTTCTTTAAAATATATATTAACATTGTAAGTTTATTCCTCCAACTAGTCCTTGAACCATAACTAAGAGGTACAGCTTTTATTTAAGTGAAAGGGGTCTAATTAACTTAGTTTAGGCACTTCAAAATACTCTACTCCTAACTGCAAATTGTTTTGAAGGTTAGGTAACAATTTACAAGTCAAAATTTATTAAATTAAATAGATATCAATGGATACAAACCGTTATATTTTATCAAAAGCATGGTGAAGTCAGAAGTAATTCACAATCAAAATAACATAACTTAATCCAGGATAAAATAATTTACTATGACGAATTGCGAAAGTTGATGGAGAATCGGAGTCTGACAACGCCGGTCGGTAAAAACTATCGTTCCCGTTCGGCTTTCACTTCAATCGGCTCGGCTCGGCAGCTGAAAAATGTCAAAAATCAAAATGCTGACTGCAAAAATCACCAAACCAACCAATTGTATTCTTCCAACAAGAACGCTACAGTGTCAACGTTGCACTCCAACAAAGACCTTTATAATATTGGTATTTTTATCAGCTTCTTACTATGTAAAATGGATTAAGGTATAAATGTAGTATCTTAGCAGTAATTTGTTGTACGTGAATGAATCAGAATGTTTTGAACTAATATTATGTGAGTACTAAAAAGTAATGTGAAAGCCATTGTCTTTTGTCTGGGGCCGAGTGGCTATAGTTATAGCATTGTTATAGTGAATAGGATCGCCTTCAAAATCTGAAGGTCGTTGGTTCGATTCCAAGCGAGATCGTTTTCAGATCCAGATGTCATTTGTCCCTGGGCCATTAATTAATTATGTTAACAAAAAGTCGTCGTTGGATGCTAACAATACAAGGGTTTGGACCGTTATCTTTCAAAACATTACAAATTTCATTGGCGTAGATAACACAACAAAAATAAAAAGCCTGGGAGTATAGTGTCTTGAACTTAGACACAACAAGAATGCTATAAATTTGTTTTGCTTCCCATTGTTAAGGGTGCTCTCTACCTCAGCTCGGAAATCTCAGCTCGGGCTTCAGTAGTTATGTTGTGCTGTTGAACGGCACCGCGAGAAGCGCTTGCAGAGGTTCACGGGCCCTGCCGTTGTAAACTTCCCTTACATGCTAGTAAAAATCAGTAAACGGGGGCTTAAAGAACAAAGACCCATCCATACGACCTTGGTTTTAGAATGTTTCTGTAACGATTCTTTAATAATTTAAAGCAGTTTAAAATGGCCGTTTTCCCTCTACATTCAAAAGAAGATTTTCAGGCTTCATATGGTACGATGTTAAACATATTGAAACAACTATACTTTAAGATAATGTAATCCTCTTCAAAATAACACCCTAACTTTGATTCTACGTTAAGTGTAGCCTTCGGAAACACGGGGTCCCCAAACCCTTGCATTTACACGAAATGGCAGAGCTAGAGCGGACCCTTTAAGTGGGCACTCCACCTGAGAAAAAATGTTGTTTGCAATAAACTAATTTTTTTATGTTTAAGAATTTAGCATAGTTAAAGATATTTTTATGATGATCCCCCCTCCCGGGGAGTGGTTTTTTTTCCTAAAAGCAGACGTTTACTTACGGGAACAGATAAATTTGGAGTTAGGTGGGTATAACATAATTTAGTAATTATTTTATTAACTTAAAGAGTACTCCTACAAACTGTAGTATGGGAGTTGCCATACAAAAATATTTCTATAAAAATCGTATTTTTAATTTAATATTTTTGTTTATTCATCACAAACTTTTCGCTGAACTTTAATTATTCCATACTACAGTTTGTGAAGTAGAATGTCCCCTTCAAAATGAAAAAAACTATGTAAATCAGAACTTGAAATATGTTTTTTCCTGAATATATGACAAAATGAAACTTACGAAAATCGCCCCGGAAACGAAAGGAAACACAATTCTGTTGTGGAGAACTCCACCAAAATAAGAACAAATTCAATTACATATTAAATTTGTCTATTATTATTATTATTATTATTATTATTATTTAAAAGTGCATCTAAAAACAAAACTTTTAATACAGTACAAAATCTTATGGCCAAACCCCCCTCCCCCACAACTTCGGCAAACGGGGCCAGTGTTGAGCTTACTTATTTTGGAAAATAACACCTCATAAAAAAAATATTTTTATTATGTGTCATACATCAAAATGTCCAGAAAGAACTGTAGAACACTTTTTGGTAAATAACTGAAATTTGATACATTTGTTATTTCTTGGTTTTTTTTGGGGTGGAGTGCCCCTTTAAAAAATGCTATGTTCCAATAACAGTTATTAATACTAAATCCATTTCAACTTCTCTTAATGATTGTTGAAGTCCCCCCATTAAAAATTTCATTTTCTGAGCAATGTATCCCTTAACACTAATCTAATCGAGACCGACGATCAATTTTAAGGTAAATGAAAAACTGAAAGAATCAGTTGGTGTGCTTTAGCTTACTGGGCAATAACTTTTTCGAACATATAGACAAATATAAAACCACGATAAAAACACACTCCTTTGTATGTAGGCCTATCTATGATATAGATTAACCATGTAGATTAACGGTAGGCCTACTTGATTATAAAGGAATCACCAAGTTCAAGCACGCAAGTAATTTAATTTAGCCTAAGTTGAACTTTCAGTATAAATATTGTGATGTAACTAATGCAGATTTGTATTTGTTAATCTGGTACAGTATTTAAGTTATCTTGAACACAATAATACTTTGAATTCACTATTCAGTGGAATGCTTTTCAGCTTGTTGTATAACACGAACTTTGTTTATATATAGTATTATTATAAGCTTCATCTTACTGTAACGGACGTGTTGGCAAGCCTGTACAAAAGAAAAGTGGTAACACTGGAGCACGTTGGTTGGTTTGTTGATTTGCTTTTGTTCTGTGTTGTTTGTTGTGTGTGTGGTGGAGTGGACTGGAGTGAGTTACAGTGGAGTGTACCAGTGGCAGTGGAGTGGACGTTTTTTGACAGTAGAAGTCAGATGTTCAGTGCGATCTGTCATTAGTGTCGAGTTCTTGTTGATTTTAAATTTAAACTGCTGTTAGTTTTTTCCAGTGCTAAGTTAATTGAGTGTAACTGTATTGAGAGTTTACTAAGTGTTGTGTTCAAATTTGGAAAAATACTAAATCATATTTATTTTCTGTTCCTATTGTCCAAGGACAGTTTACTACTATTCTTTCTCAGGCTGTGTAGGGCCTAACTATATTCAAGTAGGTATTAACTTACTTAGGAAATCTTAATTTCACCGCTATTAAATTAAAGTACCCTACTATAAGCTCTGTGGACTCAGGATTATAAGGACAGCACACTGCCTCGGGCAAAGGAATCTGGCAACATACTTCATAAGGTTGGTGAATATAGTCAAACACATTTCATTCGATAGTTAAGTTAAGTAGTCAACGATATTAAGTCAGTGACATGTGCATGGATTGATAATCCACATCAATTATATATCAATATCAATTAGCCTATTTAAGATGGGGACGCCACTAGGTGTGTATTTCAACCCAAATATAAGTGAAGGACCAGTGTAAGATGAGTGGCACAATCTTGTACTGTAGTCTTGTTAAATTAGCGACTAAGGCCGACATGTTCCTTAGACACAGCTGTTAATTAATAACCCATACAGCCAATGGCATCTAAGGGACCTACAGTTTATAGTGGAATCCGAACCACATTTTTGCCTTGTAATTAACAAATTGGGCTAATTATCATGATAGCACTGCGCGGGTTGTCGTAGTGCACTCACTACTGCGCACGTTATTCCACCAGGGAGTATCGCATCAACACTCAACAGTACAAGCACGCCTATAAATATCCACAGTTCTTTACCTCCTAGTAGCTGGATTACAGGATGAAGCCACCATCCCAGTCATATGAATATTATCAAAAACATTGATAGGCATCACCACCAAAACTCTGTAAGACTAAGCCAAATTGGATTTTAATAGGAGTTCATTCCACAAAGGTTTTTCTATTTATTTTTACAATGAAATGCCACATCTAATAAATTTGTTATTTTATAACTTAGTGGGTAAACAGTGCTTGCCCAGTAATTATAAGGTCGCTGGTACGATCTTGAGAAAAATGTCTAACCTTTTGATGGTTTGATATTGGACCCAGCTAGCTCTGTCCAAGATGAGTAGGATATTATGGTCCTGACTAATGAAACAGTTTTAGTCAGTGACAAAGCTATCCAGATCATCTCAGCTTCTACACTCATCCTTCACACATATATATGGGTTAAAATACGCACCTAGATTGCATACCCATCCAAATAAGTGATACAGTACCTCAATACCTTCTCCTTCATCTTTTACCCACAAAGTGGGATTGACAGCGTCACTTCTACAATACTGTACAACTTATGATAATTGTGCACTAACTTATATATCGATTTACTCACAAAAAAATATTTATTCTGACAATCTGTTCAGCTGGGGTCTTATCAAACTAACCTTTGTACGAATGATGCATTCAATTTAAGTTACTTTTTCATTTTGTGTTTTTAACACTATTGACATTTTTACCTTTTTGCCATGCCCTCGGCTTGTCACTAGTTTACATTGACCTTTTGTTTGATATTGCCATTGATGGATGGCTCAAATGACATCTTGGTCCAGGGTTGACTTTGACTCTGCTTGAAATCGAATTATCGACGTTCAGACGTGTTGTGTAGGCAAGCATAGCCTATATCCATATGTCTAATGACTGGAACACTCAGCCAGTCAAAAGTTATATTTTAAAGCTCTCTTAAAACTAGGTTTGTACAACTCTTCGGTGCTTTTTGTCGTACACGATATCGAATGACATTCAACAAAGTTAACTACGCCACCTGTTTTTGCAGGTTATTGATTCAACAAAATAATTATGCTTAATTTGAGGATAAACTGATGCTTGCTATAAACAAATAGTGAAACCCAATCTGATCACTTTCACTAGTTGTTTAAAATTATAAATCACTAAGTAATAGGCCTACAGACTAGACTATTATTGTTCTGTTGAACTATTCTGATGAGTAATTAATGTTATCATGGGGACTTTTATTGATTTTACCAGAAACTATATTTTTACCGGGAAACAACAGTGCAAACATTTCTCCTAGGTCACTAATAATATAAGTAGGCCTAACTGAGAGAAAAAATAGTAGGCCTGTCTTGATGAAATTACCAAGAAAAAAATGTTTCAGAAATCGATAAATCACTGCCTTATAGCTTTGACTGTTATCATGATATTACAAATTTTAAATCGAAAATGTTTTTTTAAGGTTCACCCAATTCAAGCAATTTGGTATATTTTATTTAAATTCAAGTGTCAGTGGGAAATTATTGATGAATAAATATCCTTTAAAACAGTTTTGTAATAAATTTTGATTAGCAAGGAATACAATCTTGATTTAATAACTTCTTGATCTTGATTGGAGATTGCCATACAAAAAAAATTAAGGAGACGACTTGAAAAAATCCCTGCAATAGTGTCTGAAGACGATTGTTACTGTAGAGAAGTGAATGGTCCTGTGTGGTGCTAGCCTGCTAGGATGCTGCGCCGAGGCCCGAGGTAAGGTGGATGACTGGCCCTGGGGGCTCTGGTCAGGGGGAGGGGGGTCAAGGTCACTACGTTAACGGTACGGAACAGGTCTGCAGCTCCAGACCTCCATCTCCAAACCCAAACTCCTCATCTCCTGAGAACTCTAACCTTGTGGGCACTCCTGGGATTCAATTTTACCCTAAGTAGGTTGCAACTGGTTTGCCAGAGTGATGGAGTCTCGAAGATACTTAGGCGTCCTTGGTTTGACCCGATGACCTTCGTTTAGTGGTTTGTGATAAATCTTCCGTGATAAAGGTTTGACCATAGGAGTAGACACCCTTTTTTATCAGTTTGATTTAACTATCCACCCTGTAGAAAAGATCGTCAAGGTGCATGACTACATTAGGGTAACAAGCCATACTGTAATACTTTACTTTTACTTTACATACACTGTTAATTCTCTTCTCTATATTTTCAAAGTATATTTTATTTGTTAGATGAACACTGTTTATTTTAGACAAATACTGATCTCGTTAACTCAATTAATCCTTCGTTAATTAATCCTTTAGGAGCACTAATTAAGATTAAAATCCAAGTTATCGAGCCTCAAGTCTTAAAACATTGATGTTTACAGTATTTAATTAGAACAGCTTGTACTAACTTGACCTCTCTACTCACTCTGTGCTTACGCGACGTCATTCAAACTTGGACACCTGGTCCTGGTACTCAACTCACAACTATATTTAGCTGAAAAACTTCAGTTAAGTCAAATTTATCTGTTACCTTACAGTCGGCATAGCTGTATATTTTAAGTTTGTCTTCTATTTTAAACATTTTCGATCGAACCAACCGAGCTACTGTACTTATTCAACAAACGGCAGGCCACTGTAATGTGCTCACTGCTCGTTTCCTGTTGCTTCATCCCGGTCCATAGATCCTGTGTTCGTCTATGAATAAAGCACGGGAATAGTTCAGAATGCGGAAGTGAATTTGGTGACAAAACTATCCTCGTATTCGTTAACGGTGCCGGTTTGGATTCAGTCAGGAATAGAAACAGCGACGTCTCGCTTCAGGCTCTGGTGTCGGCGTAAATGATGCTTTGTTGGTTCCTGTTTGTCTCACGTTTGTTGTTTGCTCTTCTGTAATCAATAGTGCAAAGTAGTATTGAACTACTTTCTGACACGTGGATTTACGATGAGGACGTTCCAACAGCATGGAAATCCGTCACGCACTTTTGAACATGATCACGCGACTGATAGCCAGGACTAGCTTCATTAAATCTTTTCAAAATGTATTATTTTTTCATAAATGTGTCCATATAATTGCCCATGTCCAGGTAAACTAGTTTTGAAGGTGCGTTCCAAGAACAAGCATTTGAAGGAACTGTGCTTTGCCTTCAATTTGTTCAGTAGGCAACGTTTGTTTCTGTCATGCTCTTTTGTAGGCAACCTATATGTATACCACAGAGTCAATAATAATATACTACTCTACTATTTGAAAACAACAAACTTTCCCTACCACACATCCTATCAACCACTAACGATCACATAGACCATCGATGCAGACCAACACAACCCAAGGGCGTACCCCGGCCGTGTGTGAGTGGTAATACACACGTAACGGTAACAGAAACCATAGAAAATATATCATAAACATAAACCATTATGCCACCGTCCCAAACCTTATACTTATAACAGTAACATAAATTTTGGGCGCTTTTGACATTTCCATCTAATAATTCAAACATTTTTTCTGGTCAGTGACGTTATTTGTTTATGATCCACAATCTTTCTGTTCTGTACCCGCGGTAATATGCATGGTCCTTAGCATAGTCTTTCCTATATTATTACAGACAAGTGCCTGTGCATCGTTAATTTGACACACATTGGACATTATTGAAGTGCAAGCGCAACGTTAGCGATGCAGTTGCAATAGCCTCCAGCAGCTCGAGATTGGAACCGATGACCATAACGGGACAAGCGATAGAGTTGTCGACTGGACAGGTTCACAGGTTGCTGGTTGCTGAATAATGCCGGACACTCGCAGTCACAACACAACGGGATCGCTGTCCTACAGACCCATATACAACCCATCGCTATTGTATCGTACTCTATGGTAATGCTAGTGGTAGTACTCTGTGGAGTGGATTCCCGCGTTCCCGCGCATAACGACTGTCGACTGTGATGATTGCTGGTTAGCATGTTTCGTGTTTCGAGTTTATGATGATGTACGTAGAAGGTCGAGATTTCACATCCTTTTGTTTTGCTAGAGTGGAGAGGTTGATGGGATGGGAGTGTTTTCTAGGGTCTCTGATATGCTCTCTGATATGGCGAATAGGGAGAAAATTGTGTACCATCCGGGCACTTCGCAAAATTTTGAAGGTTTGGGATTCCATTTACACTAAATTTTAAAGTGGTGTAAGTGGAATTTATATGGCTGAAGAGTACATTGTCCTAAACAGCCACAGTAGTTTTTCAGCTTACTGAAACATCACAAAGACGTTGGTGGAATTTAGACTTATAAGTTATAAAGGGTTTTCTCAACGAACGTGTATTTCAGAATCTGTGACATATTTGAGCGGTGCATAGTCACTTATCTCATCTGTATTGGTATGCAAATATAATTACTAGCGTGATCGACATGACGACTAGGGACGAGCTAAACTTATCTATACCGCATGCCAACAAACATGACAAAACATGTGGTTCAATCATGATCAACAGTCACAGTGAATTTAAAACTTGACACTTAGAAAAACGAGATTGAAATAAATAACATAATTGTTAGTTACAATACAACTATTTGTAGTCCTAATCACCC